CTCTCTCTCTCTCTCTCTCTCTCTCTCTCTCTCTCTCTCTCTCTCTCTCTCTCTCTCGGCCCAATAGCCTCACCTGTCCCGTTCCCACTTTGAACGAGAAAGGTCTCCCCCTGTCGCGGGATGAGTCGAACTTCGCGCCATCCTCATCGCCGAAGGCATTCAGCCATCCTGGTTCGGAAAACAACACACATACTCCTCGGTGTCAGCGACAAGGCAACAAAATGACAATGCACACACGCCTACACTTTTCGAGTCATCATGTCTTTTAATTCTACTCGCCGTTTTTTTTATCTTGCATCGTGCCGAAAAGAAACAAAGTCAGGCTCTTCGGCCTTCTTCAAGCATAAAAAAATCTAAAAGTGATGTTGGCGGGAACACGTTAAGTGTGACGGTCTACAGCAGCAGTACCTCTGCGGTATCACTGATCCCGTTAGGCCAATTCAGGAACACACAGTACTGCAACTTCGGAGTGCTTACCAGTACAAAAATAGTGCACGCTGAAAGGAAGCTCCTAATGATAACGACTTGAACGACTACATTACACGCTTACCGGTGTAGTGGGCCTTGACCATGTTTCCAGGGCTAGGCTTGGAGCCCTTTCCAGCCACCGTGACGGTGTACTTGAGGCCGCTGTCGGTGGTAACCTCCTCTCCCACCTTCACCTCATCCTCTCCCTCGGCACGGGCTAGCAGCGGAGAGCCTGTCACCGCCGCAACAGTCGTGGCCGCCGCGAGTCCAGCCTTGTTGAGGAAAGCAACGCGGCTGTGCTGCCCACCTCCCTGGGAGGAAGAGGAAGATGAAGTTGAGGCAGAGCAACTCACGACCTTGCGGCTGGAGGACCCGGCTGCGGCGAGACCTGCGGCAACGGATGATGGGTGAAGGATTGGGTGAGCGTGATAAGGTTGATCAACAAACGAAGTGTGCCGTGGTGTGCAAGACCAGAAGAGGTCGGCGAGACAGGAGAGGTCGCCTCGGTTCGGCTGTTTTGATCTGGTGCGTTTTAGGCCTTTGGAGGTGCCGTGGCATGTTTTGCGAAGGGAGCTTGCCCTTTCTTGGGCGAAAGGAACATCCTGTAAATTGGATCCGCGCTAAACACGTGAAACGTGGAGAGCGCACAACCTCAAATAGGGCACCGAACAATGGCACGACCAACGCACAACTGGGGCAGTATATGCTGCAGCCATTATCAACAGAGCATGCCATCTGTAGTTGGTAGTTACTTGTGGAACCATCAAATCAAGCACTCCTGAGACGCAGTACGAGTGTCATTTGAAGGCCAACAAAAGACATCGAAAGTCGATGCGGCAAGATCTCTGGGAGGGAGAACCTCAATGTGTAGGTCAGTTACTACAGTCGGATTGCCAACCTCATGTCGATTGGTTGGTGAAGATCGCGATATCGCGATGTGATTTCGTGAGTGAGTGTACATGATGGATGTACGACTGCGCCCCCCGCCCCAAACGTTGAAGACATCAACCGCAGAGAATTTTCTGCGTCTCCCCCGGATGGGAGCCCTTCACCTCGGCAGGAAAGGCCGCAGGGTACCTGAGGGTGTTCGCATACTGCACTCTACGAGATAAAAGTATAAGATACCACACACCCTCGACTCCGACTATCAGGGTTCGATTTTTCCACGGACGAAAAGAATACCGTGATCAAATGATACGTTATCGGAAAACTTAAGGCCATATCGTTCCAATGCCGCCGTTTTCAGTCTCGTGACTTTTGTTTTGCTGCAAGTAACCGAGCTTGATCCAGGGGGAACGGTGTCTTGCGCAACATGCGGTGATACACAAAGCATGGGGTAATGAAGATAACACAAAAGTTGCTTTTGTTGCATCGAGCCTATACGCCGAAGAGGTGTGGTACGGAGGAAACAAGGCCGGGGTAACAGGAGCTTCCGATCAGCATACGGCGATGGATTTGTACAGTAGGCGGCATTGAAACATGTGCACCTCTTGGGCGGAGTAGGGTGTATTCAGTAGTCTAGGGAGGAGGGTCAGAGAAAAAACACGCATATGTCGTGCGGCACATCATCACATCCCACCTCTGCTCACTACAGCTGGAAGGATGAAAGCCTCTGAGGCCATGAGCCCTCCCATCAGCGTTGCAATTGCCCTCTTCATTATTCCTTCCTTGACTTGGTTGTGGTGGATGCTGGTGTGCTGGCCTACCGGCTGAGGCGCTGAGGCCTAACGTGTGGTTGGGGAGTTCACATACCACGAAAGGGATGTTTCATGAGCATTCTAATTTTGTAACGCTTCCTCTCGAAAAAATCAGAAAAAATCGTCGAACACACAACTGGTCGCCCCGGTGGTCTAGTGGGTAGTCGCGCAGCCTGCTAAGGGCCAGGTCATGGGTTCGAGTCCCGGCAGAGTGAGTTTTTTTCTCACTAAATAATCCTGGTCTAGGATGAAAGCGATGCGCTGCAAAGCTCGTTGTTAGTAAACCATAATCGACTTCGTAAGTCGCGAGGGAAGGGATTGCTGTACCCTTCTCGCGATAAAAATACCTCAGGCATGAACTGCAGGAGGGGGTCCAACCCCCCCCTCCCATGTGACCCCGGTTGGGTCGTCTAGCTAGTAGAAGTGGAGGATAGGGGCCAGAGGGGCAGACGACAGAGTCCAATCATGGGAGAAAAACAACAACAACAACAACAACTAGAGACAACTCGACTTCGTCGACGAACTGGACCTGTTGTTCCTTCCGAGCCACAGACAAAATTATGTCATCGTTCTTACGCATGCACTCGCTGTTTCAAGTGCTACGTTATTACTGCAATCTCAGGTTGGCTGCCCTTCCCTGAACATATTGCGGCCAAATATACTTGCACGACTCGTCGACAAAGTATTGACTTCATACAGACAACGTCTTACCAGCAGTACTACTGCGGGTCACTGACAGACATATAGATCCATGTACTGCTGTACAATTGTGTTGTCGTCCTTTCCCCATCACTGCTATGCATGTCATATGATGGTTGATTGATACTGCAGATAGATATGACATGCACAATCCACCAATCGTTGTATACTTAGAATTAGATCTAATCCATTGACTTACAGCAGGCGGCAGAGAGGGACGTGACCGACATTAATACCAGTAGTCAGTCGTGTTCTCGCCTCTTTCTTGGCCATGTAGTCGACATATGTACGAAATCTCAGACAACGCATGGATATAGGAATCATGAACTGCGAGGGGGGCGAGCAGGAATGGCTGCGGCCAGCTGTACCAGCTTCTAGACCGACCGCACCAACCGAGAGCAAGAGGACACGCATCCTCAAGCATCGGACGTTTGCACCAAATAGCTTCGGGCGAAGTAAAGGTGATGGTGAAAGAAAGTGAAAGTCTACATGTCCTGTAGACTACAGTAGACGTAGTGTACTACTGCTGTATATCGCCGGACAAGACGTTTGGGCGCACCAACCGGGGCCACACAGGAGCATAGTCTACCACACAACAAGAAGTGAAATGCGCGTGCGTGTGTGTTGCCATTGATAGCAAGCATCGACGTGTGGGGGCATAACCAATGTAGCCTAGACTATGCCGTTATATGCATGTGGTCGCGGTTCATGTGGTGTCTTTCAGCATTACGGTGCGTCGAACACGGCGATGTCCAAACTGCGCATCGCGGCGTATGTTCGCCATCCCATTTTGAAGAAACCTTCGCTAGCAGTTTCTTCCTATCCTAGGACCTTTTGCCACTCGAATGGAGGAGCTCCGCTTCGGTAATCGGCGCTATCTGGGAGTAACATCTCAGGGTCCAATACCATATTTTATTTCTTATCCTGCTTCTGCCCGTGCAGCTCCCTCAGGGGAAGGGGGGAAGGACGACATTGAAATCGCCAAAGACGACGAAAAATTCCGCAACGGTCTCAAGAGAAATATCATCCACCTCTCCAACCTTACAAGGGTCAATCAGGAACAGCTGGCTCGACTCCGTGAGCAGGTAAGGATATATGTAGTCTGGTCCATGTACTGCAGCAGAGCAGTAGTCTACTCCATATTATTTTGTTGTTACTAACACGTTGTTCCACACACACACAAAGAAAATATGCTTCACAAATACAGGGCCAGTTGTCCCATCCTGATTTAGCAGGTGCAGACAAAAAAATCGAGAACGAACGTGGACTACATCAGTCCAACGTTTTCCGCACGCTACTGCCGGCTGTACATCAAATTTTTCGTTGGGAGTGGCGCCGAAATGATGCCGCCAGGAATTTAGGGTGGCGCATTATAACCAAAGCACCTCGTCCGCTGATTTNCGACGTTGTAAAACAAGCCAATTCACTTCGTGAACTCGGCAACCAGGTTACCGTTTTTTTTTAACCTCTGTTTTTTTGGGGGCGGTAACCATAATGGTGGTCGAGTATATCATGTTGTGCGGGGTGGAGAACCCTCACTCCGCGCAAGGGGGATGATCGCACCACGTTGTGTTGAAATGGTCAAGCACCCTCGAGGCAGTTACACAGTGCTTACAACTGTCTCTGGAAGTGAAAGCACCAGAAA